GTCGCCTCTCCTTAGAATGAGATGGATAAATGACTTGCCTTTCATATCTGGCTTGCCAGTCAGGAGGTAGGTTAATCCCAGGCTGTGGACAAGCAGGGCAAAACCAAGCCAGATCACCCTTGTCCGGTTTCTGCTCATCATTATGGGCAAAGCCAAACCATTTTCGACTCATCAAGTCTCTCCACAGTCGAGACACTCTCATAAGTTCTCGATATCGATTCTAGAAAAACAAATTGGTACTGTTAGTTTAACTTTCACCAAGAAGACTTATAAGACTTACAGGAACAGTATCTGGGAAACAGTTATTGGTCATTCGACGGATTTTTTCAAAGAAGCTGGATGCTGAAGTCTTGCACTCCAGTGCATCAATTAGAAAATGATTGAGGACATCAAAAGTAAAGGCAGTCTGTGGTCGAGTGGTACTGGCTGGAAATAATTTAGCTTTCAGCAATTGCAAATGCTGCTGACAATCGACCCCAGGACAGCTGCACCAGACAACGTTGTGCAAAAACACTCCAGTGGAATGTACAATGGTCAACTTGGTTGGTATAGTTGAACCATGAACTGTCTCCATTGGTGAAAAATTGGCCTCTGCGTCCATCGGAATATTCTCCCATGCATGCATGTCGTCAGAAAATGGACATGGTTGTCCCCCATGGCCCATATACCAGATAAAACTTAATTCTTCAAGTGATGTGTCGTTGAAGCATTTCCCAGTCCACTCTTGAACCTTGTGGAAGGGCAAAAACTGGTGAGCATTGACAATGCAAGAACGACAGAATGTCTGATCTCCACTGCAAGTCAAACAGCAGAATTTCCCTTCACCAATCTGACAAGACTGGCACTGGGATACATCGGAGGGTTTCTCCAAGTCAAGGAGAATATCCAAGTACAAGTCTCGGAAAGGCAGATATTCTTGGATGAAGTCATTTTGTGTCTGGTCGTAATAATCTCTATTTAGTACATCATTAAAAGACACTGAATCACTATGCTTGCCTTGGTTTTTCTTTGTGAGTTCTCTACATAGGAAACAAAGTCACCAAGGGTTTGTCTATCAAAATCTTCATGACTGTTTTGCAACCCTTGAGTGTCTTCTCTAATACGTTTACGAGGGCTGGAGGATGGAGATGGTGTTGGGGCAGTGTCATAAAGGCTATCAGCGCATGATTCCACCCAGGTTGGCTTCCTTCTCTTTCCAATGACTTGTTTATGAGACACATAGGCAACATCAAGGTCCTTGCCTTTAGACAAACGACCTCTTCCTTGGAAGGAAAATGTAGCTGCCTTGAGTCGAGTTTTTTTCTTGGGAGACATAGGGTTACGTGTGGGGGGAAAAATTGATATTATCAACATTCTATTTTTGATAGTTGAAACCATTCATAGGAATCACTAGATCACATCAACTAATCTAGTAGGTATACTGTCAAACACTTGATTTGTCCCATTCCACCCCTCCTCCTCCAAGAACCACTCCTTTCTTATCATCTACTTGTCACAACAAATAACTATCCTGCTGCCCCACCATCTGCAAAAAATAGGCCTGTGTTGGAAAGGGGGGTCTGGATACCCCGCATCTAGAGTGGATTTTATCCCTCATAAAATGGGCAATAACGAGCCTTTCTCCCGGACCCCATGGACCAATAGAATGTTGTAAAACCTTCCCGGAAATGAAGACCATTGTCCCAGGGTAATAATCCAGTTCGGCCCCAACATCTGCTAATGTCAACTTAGCCTCATGGCCACTGCCTAAACTAATCAGAAGATCAAAAAGAGAAGGTGCGCCACCAGAATCTCTGTGTGATAAAGTTGTACGATTTGCAATTATTTCCAATCTTGAGAAGATCGAGGGCCAATCACAGATGGGTGGTGATGTTCTATCAGAACCTTGAAGTTCCTCAATAATACGAGTGATTGCCAAGGTGCCTGCTTCGAATAGATCTGGAGCCGATACAGCGGTAATGGCATTCCAGAAAGATTCAGTAGCTGATAAAGCAGCTAGCCACTCTTGGACTTCCACAGACTTATAGGAAGCCGAGGTAACCATTGGGTCTTCCAGTCTCTGCAAATGAAATCAAACAAAGTCAAAAGTAGCTAAACAACCACTAAATTTGGCCTATACCTCGTGTCTTTGCATAAAATATGCTGGTGATACTGTGACTCTGCCTGCTCCAAATTCTCCACCCCCCTCTGGGACAACAAAGCCTTGAGATCGCCAAGACTGTTGGGTGGAGGACGTAATTGTTTCAAGAAGTAAAGTCCGTAAACCCTTAGTGGCTGAGTTCACATATTCCTAATTTAATTTATCAATTGATGAGGGGAATTCCCAAGGAAGAATGAACATACAACCCGAGAAGAAGACAGAATATTTGGCAAGTAAATTGTTAAAATTTTACCTTGCCTGTCCACAATAGTAGCTGGTGCTGAAATTTTACCGATCATAGCTGCAGAAAAGTACTTTGGTAGCTGATTGGTATTAGCGAGGGGACCATCAGATTTAGGTGTAGAGACTTTGGCCATTTCGGCAAATCTGTCAACATCCCAATCCACATAATCTGCAAATGATGTGAATTTAAAACCAGGTGATATCTTGCAGAGTGAAACAACTCACAAGGATTTACCATTGCATGGGCAACTGTCAGTGCAGCTCGATTGATCTCATATTCTGAGATTGACGCAGAAGCATGGAAGTTGACATCACGTGTTGCTAAGCAACTGTCTAGCTCATGTCCAATTCTTAATCTTAAGTGAGACCATTTAATAGAGCGGATCAAATAAGGCCCTAAATATAACCTCTCACCTTGCTTTGTGTAGAAGGTGAGTTTGCAATATCCCCCCTCTGAAGATCCCTGTTGCTGATGATTTTCCCATAATTTCCTTGATCCTTGTGGTCAGAGCTGCTCTCAGCTTGATTGATTGACTCATTTGTTGGTCCATGGTGAGCAAGGAAAATTTTCAACCAGCTCGTTCGGATCAAGACTCAATTTAACTTATATGAAATGATTCCGAAAAAATTGTCCCGCGATCAAATTTGGATATATGAATGGAATCTACTGATGGAAGACTGATTAAATGAAGTTTCCGAAAAAATTGTCCCGCGATCAAATTTGGATATATGAATGGAATCTACTGATGGAAGACTGATTAAATGAAGTCTTGCCCAGATTGTGACATAATTAGTACTGTAATAACTCGCTCAGATGCTGGAAGAGTGAAGACTAATATTGGCAGACTACCACAGAAGAATGAATGATATTCTGAATCTGGGACTACACTGTGGGATCCCTGTCTCAAATAACAGGAGACACTTCCAGCTGGAGTTCAACGCCTTGAGAGACAGCAAGGACTCACTTATTAAGAATGCAATCACAAAAACAGTAGTGTATAATAGTAAATTGGCATCCGGAGGACACCAGGACAAGTAGCAATGACGCCATATGATACAAACTGCCCTGCACCATCAGAAGGCTGACTCTTCCCTTCTGACCATGGAGGGGAGATACCTCTGAGGTTACCTCTGAGGCATATACTGGCTAGCCCGCCCTCAAAACTGTTCGTGTTAAGAGTTCTGCCTCAGAGGTAATACTTCGTTAGCTACACCTATACTGTAGGGTATTGAAAATGTTTTCTTTGTTAACCGAAGAAAACATTCTCAATACCCTGCAGTATAGGTGTAGCCAACTTACCTCTGAGGCAGAACTCTTAACACGAACAGTTTTGAGGGCGGGCTAGCCTCTAAGTGGCCTGTAGGGTATTGAGAATGTTTTCTTCGGTTAACAAAGAAAACATCTTCAATACCCTACAGTATATGCCTCAGAGGTAAGTTAGCTACACCTATACTGCAGGGTATTGAGAAACCCTGCAGGCCACTTAGAGGCTAGCCCGCCCTCAAAACTGTTCGTGTTAAGAGTTCTGCCTCAGAGGTAAGTTGGCTACACCTATACTGCAGGGTATTGAGAATGTTTTCTTCGGTTAACAAAGAAAACATTTTCAATACCCTACAGTATAGGTGTAGCTAACGAAGTATTACCTCTGAGGCAGAACTCTTAACACGAACAGTTTGGAGATACCTCTGAGGTTACCTCTGAGGCATATACTGGCTAGCCCGCCCTCAAAACTGTTCGTGTTAAGAGTTTTGCCTCAGAGGTAATACTTAGTTAGCTACACCTATACTGTAGGGTATTGAAAATGTTTTCTTTGTTAACCGAAGAAAACATTCTCAATACCCTGCAGTATAGGTGTAGCCAACTTACCTCTGAGGCAGAACTCTTAACACGAACAGTTTTGAGGGCGGGCTAGCCTCTAAGCGGCCTGTAGGGTATTGAGAATGTCCGTCAGTCCAAAATATGCTAGCAGCCCAGGCAGATGGTGACAATGACGCCATATGATGACTCCCCTCTGTGGTCAGAAGGCAATTTCAAAGAAGAATCAACCTTCTGACCGGGAAGGGAAGTTTGTATCATATGGCGTCATGGCTACTTGTCCTAGTGTTCTGCCACCATCTGCCTATGCCAATAGTATATTTTGACTGGCAGACAATAATCAATGATAGCGTCCTTCAGCATGTCAATGGTGAGCCGCATCAAGGCAGAATTGAGATCTACATAACACATTATCTATCTAAGACATGTAGTAGATAATAGTTGCTTTGGTCTGTGCAGTGTTTGATTATTATACACTACTGTGCTTTTGCGCTTGCTTTCTTAATAAGGCTCTTTGCTAATATACACACGGTCATGTGACCTTTTCAGCCGGCAGCAAATAAAGTGCATCCATCAACATACATTTTCAAATACAAAGTACGAGTGACAATAAATTTTACTACAAGTAAGCAAACAAATAAAGTAACAAATACAAAAGGGGAGGCGAGACTTCAATGAGGGGGCCCTCCTCACCAAAGCCTCAACACTCCAGGTGAAAATGTATGTAGCAAATATATATATAATACAATACAAATTTGTCCTGTAGAAACGTTAGACCGAAATTTAAGACAAGATTAACACTTAACTAGAGAGCACTTGCCACACAAAAGTACCGGCAGGTTCAGCAGTCTAGAGAACAAAACAGATCAGTTAAGGTCATCAGGAATTGAGCGCTTACCACCATTAAAAAGTTGGAGCAGGCTATTAAAAAGTCGGAGCAGGAGCCACTGACAAGTGGCATGCACTGCGCAACCCCCAGTTCCAATAAGCAGGAGCCACTGACAAGTGGCATGCACTGCGCAACCCCCAGTTCCAATAAGCAGAATACTAAATAGAACAGACATTAGCAAACGGACGCGAGAGAAGAAGGACTTACGTTTAAGGAACTGGAAGGCGCTCAAAGGGAGGAGTGGCTCTAACTGCGCCATCCAAAGTCCCGAAATTCGTAAGTATAATACTAAATAGAACAAACGTTAGCAAACGGACATGAGAGAGGAAGGACTTACGTTGGGAACTGGAGGGCGCTCAAAGGGAGGAGTGGCTCTAACTGCCATCCAAAGTCCCGAAATTCGTAAGTATAATCCTAAATAGAACAAACGTTAGCAAGCGGACGCGGGAAAAGAAGGACTTACGTTGGGAACTGGAGGGCGCTCAAAGGGAGGAGTGGCTCTAACTGCCATCCAAAGTCCCGAAATTCGTAAGTATAATCCTAAATAGAACAAACGTTAGCAAGCAGACGCGGGAAAAGAAGGACTTACGTTAGGGAACTGCCAGGAGGGTGCTCAAAGGGAGGAGTGGCTGTCACTGCACCATCCAAAGTCTCCAAAATCCTAAGTACAACAGACATTAGCAAGCGGGTGTGAGCAATTAAGTACTTACCTTGAGAAACCTCAAGGGAAAGAGAGTATATGTAAATGAAAACAGTTAGTAAGTAGGCGCACCACCAAAGTTGAACTTACTATGTTTGAAGGGCGACTGTAGGGTAGTACCTTTGAATTCTTGCAGCTGCAGTCTGCAAGAACCCAAAGGAGTACACCGGAAGTCGCCCTGAAGTAACGGCACTGGCAGAAATAAAGGATGAAGGAGAATGATGAAGGTAAGACGAAAGAAGAGATTGAACCGTGAGAACTGATTGTTGTTGTTCATATTCACGTGTCAGTTTGTTATTGTTTGTAAATAGTCACATGATTATCAACAATGAACTCAACAGCGTCATAATATTGGCTAATCCACAATTCAACGCGTCGCGTGTCAAAAATCCACAAATTCAACACGTGCCGGCGCGCCGGCACGTGTTGAGTGGATTTTTGACACGCGACGCGTTGAATTGTGGATTAGCCAATATTATGACGCTGTTGAGTTCATTGTTGATAATCACGTGACTATTTGGATCTGTTTGTCACAATCAACCAACGTTCAAACTTGTTCATTTCTTTCTAAGTACATTCAGCCGGCGCTCTCCTCTCTTTGCATCTGTTTGAACTACATAACTGTAAGTGCTATTTGCCGTGTCATCTACTAATTTGAATATATCTATAATAGTCTCTCTTCACCATGGTGAAGTCTAAACAAACCTGCAAGAAGTCCACCGGTGGCACCGCGCCACGAATTGCCTTGTCGTTGCCGGCATCTACTGGAGCGGTCACTGCGCCGGGTGAGCTGAATGTGAGAGAGCCGCCTGAACACAACGAGGTAAGTGATTAGTTACCTACTATTTGCACTAACACGCGTCTTTATTTGCAGTTTTGTCTCATCTGCAGAGACGGTTCTGTAGGGGAAGATTGCCTCTTCCTCTGCAGCACCTGTCCGCGGGTGATGTGTTCAAACTGCATGAACATCCCGCCTGCCAGTGCACACGCGGTGCAGGCCGATGATGTCACGTTCGTCTGCATATCTTGCCATGTTGGCATGGAACGACACGGGCGCGCATCTCAGTCGCCCTATTTTGTAAGTTTTTTCGTTTATTTCATGCTAACTAACATTCACTTCATTTTATAGGGTTTTTACAGGAAGGGGCAACCGCTCCTTCCTTCATTCCTCCAAATTCGTGCTACGTTGGAGGTTTCACTCCATTCCCAACTGTCTTCGGCACCCACGCTCATGCTCCATCTCGTCCTCGTCGACCATGACGTCACCGGCGGCTGTTTCGAACTGGCCTCCGAATTCCTTCGGCCATACTTCCCCAGCGGAGGGTTTGAATTTTGGTCCATCGTGTTCGACATCGGCAATGCCTCAAAGATCGACGAGTACCGGTTTCAGGCGACTGCCATCATCCAGTCGCTGATGAGCTCCAACTGGGCTCGTGTCGTTGTCGCCATCACTAAGCACACCGACAACGAGCATGGAGATCCATTTATTGTGTACGAGGGCAACAAGAAGTCATACGTTTCGGCACGCGTTCACTCTGTAAGTGGCATTTTTTTGACTAACATTGTATTTGCTCATTTGACACCAAAGGTTCTCGATGTTCTGCTTTCACCTTGGCATCCCCTGATTCATGGTGCCGCGGAATCATACTTATGGCTGTTTTCGTGTGGCGCGCTCATCAACAACGTCACTTCCTTTTCAGGCTTGCAACAGGCGGTCATAGAGTAAGTCCATTTGATCTTATCTTTGCAAATACTAACTAACCCTAACAGTCATCGCATCACAGCCACTATTGGCTTTAATGCTGTTCAGTTTTCAGCCGAGTTTCGCCACCCACCTTTTGCTCGCATTCGCGGAGCTGGTCATCATCGAGTGTTTGCCCATTCACATCGTCTTCCCTGACATGTTGGGCCAGTCCTACAAACTTGGGCACCACACTGACGTGTTCTTGCTGATGCCTGACAACTCAGGTTCGTTGGCCTGTTACCAAGTTCGCCTGGACGCATTCCCAACTTCGCCCCTGGGGTCAGTACCTGCCGGTCCAGTGCCCACAGTGTGGGTGGAGTAACGCCTGGTGTTCTGTCAACATGCACAAAGATTACATCTTTGAATGCAAGAATGGCCAATGTAGGAAAAAGTATGTATTCTCACAACCACCTCATTCCAGGATCCTTTTGCCAGGCAAAAGACCTGGCTCCTGCTGGATTTCGGTTGTCTTGAGGCCCATGCCTAGTGTCCCTGATGAGGATGAGGATTAGGATACAATTATTTTGTCTTAGCTTTTTCGTACATCCCTTCATGTTTCATTTTTCTTCATCTTACTTGATTAGATACCCTCACCGCTCAATGGAAGTATAACGTGTTTTGGATCTTTTTACCTGATGTGAATTTGTCTATTATCTACACTGTCTAACTCCACTCAATGGAAGTATAATGTGCCTTTAATCTTGTTACTTGATGTGAATTTGACCGTCTCAATATATCCAATTTGATAATTGATTCAAGATAAAAATTGCAGGTAGGCTGGTACAGGCGGTAGGAGGGTGGCTAGCCGAAATTAATTTGAACACCCATGTTTATCAACAATAATGTGTGACTTTTCATAAGTCACACATTATTGTTGATAAACATGGGTGTTCAAATTAATTTCGGCTAGCCACCCTCCTACCGCCTGTACCAGCCTACCTGCAATTTTTATCTTGAATCAATTACGATGTCTACCGACTGGTCTATTGCCTTTAAGCCAATTCTCGACCTTCACTCTAAGGCCATTTTTGCTGCAGGTTCCTCATCTGTTGGAAAGCCTGTGGTGAGGAAGATTCGGAGGGCCATACTAGCTGCTCAAGACGAGCAAGAGGAACCCATTGCCTTGCCTACTTCCTTGAAAAAGGTCACAAAATTCTTATACTGTACATGTATTTAGTTGTCTGATGATATACATAAATGTTACCTACAGGCAATAAAAGAATACTATGCCAAAAGTCTCAAAGACAAGGAAGAGGCAGACGAACGTGAGGCAGCGAGTCGCCCAAGAGAACCATCTTTCTATAAGAAACCCCTGTCTGAGTGGGACGTAGCACAGAAATTATTTAAGCAGGAGATCGACTCATATGACAAGGCCCAACAACAGAGTAAAGGCTTGGAGTATTCAATCAAGTACCGCACTGGGAATGCCAGGGAGTGGTTCAACAACATGACACCTTCACAACAGCAGGAGGTCAAGTTTGCCATGAAGAAATGGAATGAGGAGGGGGCGCCAGAAGAAACTCAGGCAATGTAAGTTTTACTTCAAATCTACAGTTATTCCAGTCTAACACTTTGGCTTGAGATATCGTAAGAATAACCTCAAGAAAACTCTGGAAGATTTTGCAGAGCAAATTCGGCGCACCATGGGTTGTCGCATAGTAATGCTTATTAGTCATAAGAAAAAAGCTAGTCAGACATTGTCCGTCAGTCTGTAAGTCATCAAATCAACATGGAAATCTCAAGACTAACTAAACTACTATAGACACGAAACTACGCCTCAGAATGCCAAGAAAAAATTTTCTGTGAGCTCGAGTGGTATCAAGGAGTGGGCTGCAAATGGATTTGAATCCTTTGGAGAATGGTCTAAGACTGAATTTTGTACGTGTTTCATTTGATTTTAAATATCATGCTCACTGACTATTAAATTGATAGACCCTTCAGAGGATTCAGACCATGTGGCTTCAGACTGTGAGGATGGACCTGTCTTACCTGAAATCATAGTAGATGATGAGGGGTATGCAAAACTTCCTCTTCGTGATGGTATTGGCCTCAAGGGCCAACATGAATTGATTAGAAGTATCTTTCATACTTCATACAGTAAGATCTAACATCTTCAATATGTGCATGACATTTGATTGACTCAATGGTTTGTAGAAGTCTGCACAGGTGGCTCTAGACCTGTACCTTGGGGCGTGATAACTGCCAGCCCGTCCAATTATTTGGAACCTGGTTCAGTTCCCACAGGATTTGTGGTCAAAGACCCTTCTCATATGAAGACAGAGGAGGTAAATCGTCTATGGATGCATTGGGAACGATGTTCTGCTACAAATCAGAAGCTAGTTGTCTTTATTAAGGCCAAGGATGCTGATATTCGGGTCACTGGGAAGTCCAAGACGAAAGTAGTGAGCACCCTAGACTTAGATGAAGAAGATCAAGGCCGGCCGGCTCCATTTGCCTCTCATTTCACTGAACGTACAACACAGCCGGCCGCTCATGAGACAACACCAGATGATGTTGCCATCAATGACCGATACACATTTTTAGAAACCCTTAGCAAGAATGAAAACTACTTGGAGCTTGTGGACGCCACTAGGGACCTGGCAATATTAGCCAAACAGAATGTTAGTGTCACTTGGTGCTGTTTTCAATTTTATGGCTTATATGTCCAACAGCCAATTTCAGAGCGACACCAAGATTTGCCTACCTGGGCTGACTGGTCTTGGAGCGAAAATTATCTTTCCAAGGACATTCACACCTCATATGCGACATTGATGGCCAGCTTAAACAAGCTACAGACCTGTCCAATCTCAGGGCCATCATCGGCAATGCCAGTAATACTAGGAATTGGGCTCCTCTATAGGGAGTCTAAGCGTGTGATAGAGTATGAGGAAGACGAGGCTGATCCCAATACCCCTTTCTACCTACCTCATTCTGCTATTGATCTACAGTTCTTGGTCGCTCTGGATGAGGCTGTCCGGGAAGTCTTATTCTCAGTTGTTGGTCAGATTGAGAGGCTGAACAAAGAGGGACTCAGTGACGAGGTTGAGGATGAGGAGATGAGGATGGTGGTAGAGAAGGAAAGGCATGAGGTTGAGGAGAAGGATGTTGAGTCAGAGGAGAATGTAGTTGGGGGAGAAGAACAGCAGGAGCAGGAGGTTGAAGAGGTGGTGCAGAAAGGGAGGAAGAGAAAAATTAACCATGCTTCATCAAGTAAGTCCAAGAAGCCTAGGACTGAGCCTGTGGTTCGTAGATCAGGTAGGGCGAGGCAACCCTCTAAGAGATCCCAGAAGATATGATCTTGTATCCTCCATTGTCTTCATTGCTAGTCAATCTTGTACAGTAATTACATATGCTTGTCTAGACTCTGTTAAGACCATGCACAAAGGGTAGGACTGATTCCAAGGGGCTTGGCTTCAGCTCGTGCGCTGCGCCCCTTACCCGAGTATGTGCCCTTAACTTCAGAATGAAGTCCGGAGAAAGTCCAGTGAAGTCCGAAGGACCTCCGGAGAAGCGTGGGAAACTTCGGAAGGACTTTCCGGACGAGTGCGAGAAACTTCCGGATGAGTGCGGGAAAGTTCCGGAGGAACTTCCGGAAATTATGATGGAGTTTCGTCCTGACGGGGATATGTATAATGGCTACTCAGGACGAGTCCTGAGTAGAAGGAAACAGAGGAAAGGCTGCAAGGACAAAGTCCGAAGCAGAATAGGTCCGGAGGACCGCGGGAAAGTTCCGGAGGAACTTCCGGAAACTCGGAGGAATGGAGGATCGGATGAGTGGATGAGTGGATGAGTGGATGAGTGGAGGATCGGAGGAGCGGAGGAGCGGAGGAGCGGAGGAGCGGAGGAGCGGAGGAGCGGAGCTCCGGCCTAGGGAATTCCTCCCTAGGCCTGAGATGGATGATTACTGAGTCGGAGGAATAGAACTGTTACGAGGACTCAGTGTGAAGACTAGTGCGAGGACTAATATGTGTATGATATTCAGACTGAGGAAATACAGGAGTATCTACTGGGGTTTATATACTAGAGGCAAGTCTGTGCAGATCAGTAAGCAGAGGGGTAAGGCTATGTACGAGCATGTGGAAATGTATTAGAAAATAAGACGGATCATAGGAAATGAACTCGGAGATGAAATGAGGTACGGAAAATGAGGAAGTCTAACTCAAGAAGGAACATACAAAGGGATAAGGCACGGAAGATAGACGCGGGTCGGATCCGGATGTCCGGAGATGAATGCGTGATAGGTCTGGGTCCGGAATGCAAGGAAGATAGACGTGGGTCGGATCCGGATGTTCGGAAGTCCGGAGACAGGTGATTACCATAAGGGGATGGGCGCTGATTTAAGGTTTGGGTTCGGACATGACAGATAGGTCGGATCCGGAGATCCGGAGATGTGGATATCAGATCTGGCATCCGGATATCAGATGCAGGAGTACAGGGATCTGGACGGATAGAGGATTGGGTCTGGAGACATGGACAGGAGGTCCGGAGGTCCGGATGAGGCGTGGGAACGTCGTCAGATGTTGGTCCGGAATGCGGGATATGACAGTATCCCCCCTTTAAGGCCGAGCCCTCGAGGCTGAAGACTCAGGATGTCTGGAACGGAGATTGCTGGTATATGGCAGAGGACAATGATGGATGGATTCCGGAGGATTGGTTCCTATGAGCTGAAAATCTCCGGAGGTTTCGGAAATGTTCCTGACACACACATGGTTCATTATGATGCCTAGTACTTCATCTGGAAACTGGACATCATAGACGGTGGTGAAGAATGGTGATGTGATGTGAGGACAAATAGGTTTCCGGAGTGGAAGTCTGGAACACTTTGAGGATAATTCCGAAGGTGACTGGAAGTCCGGAAAATGCGTGGGAAAATCGGAGGAAGCTTTCAGAGCGGAGGAGGTTGTATCAGGGCAGTGGAAATGCAGCGAGTGCAGGACAAGAGGGCAAGAGTGGATGTGATGCAGGCCTCTTTCTGATGTGACGGAGGAGTCCTGTGAGACATATCTTTCTCCATGAAGCAGAGCTTGTACTGAGGTACAGCTAAGGATAAGTGCATCATCAGAAATCCGGAAATTAGCCCCTATGACCGGAAATGTTCCAGAGCTTTGGTTGCACACAGCGAGAGGTCATGGGCGGAGTTTCCAGGTGCACTGAAAGTTAATGCAAATAGCAGGATTTTGCACCCGGTGCGAGGCTTTTTGATAAACACGCATGGTGGATGGAAATCCTGATGATGGGGCGGATGGATCCGAATGGTCCGGAGTAGGGCTATGGCGTGGGAATCAACAGGAGTCGGACGGAAGGATGATGATAGCGGAGGAATGGGTCGGAAACATGGAGATCAGAAACACAAAGGGTCAAAAACGCGGAGGGTCGGAAATGCAGAGGAAGGATGGGAGTACAGAGAGGATGTCTTTCCGGAATATTCGATATCCATTGGTACAGCTGCTAGAGCAAAAGGATAGCTAGTGTATAGGCTCATAAAGGACGGAGCAAGCTGTTTGATGGGCCG